GACCCTATATTTTTCAAAGATATCAGGGAATTTAACAAAAAACTTAGCACCAGAGGCACTTACTAAAATCGACTGATTAGTAATGTAAGTTGATTTCATATTTAAGTTATGATATAGTATCATTGTATATTTAATATGTATGTTACACTCCCAGGAATAACAAATGGTCAGCCTATTCAACTGCTTCATACTATCGATAACTCAAATGGACAACTTGAAGTCGCTATCTGCGATGTAACGTATTACCCGCGGTGGACCAATATAAGTGCTGCGAGAAATACTACTACTAAAGAAATAGATAGTCTAGGTAATGAGGATGACTTTCACATTATATCTGATGGGTATTACAGCATATGCTCACTCAATGATGAAATTTGTAAACCAAGGGGAGTCAGCCTCACACAAAATGAGTCGAATGGGATGCTGATTTTAAGGGCTGGAAGAAAGCTTATAATTCTTCACCGGGGCATAACAGAAACATTTGGGTTTGAATTCTTAAACACAATTATAGATCCCAACAAAACACAGCATGGAGATAAATTGCCTGATTTAGTTCCCTATAAAGAGTTGTGCGTGGTATTATTTCAGATCTCAAAATTTCTGTATTAGATTTAAAACATCAACCTGTACATATAGGATACTTGAGTGTAACACTCCATATCATAAATAATGGTCGATTTCATATTTAAGTTATGATATAGTATCTTTGTATATTTAATATGTATGTCACACTCCCAGGAATAACAAATGGTCAGTCTATTCAACTGCTTCATACTATTGATAACTCGGCTGGTCAACTTGAAGTCGCCCTATGAGGTGTAACGTATTACCCACGGTGGATCAATATAGTTGCCGCTAGATATAATAATCAGGTACTACCAAGTGCATTATATCATGATGGTAATTACATTATACCTGATGGGTATTACAGTGTCTGTTCACTCAATGATGAATTTTTTAAGCCTTTTGGAGTTAGTCTCACACAAAATGAGTCGAATGGGATGCTGAGTTTAAAAGCTAGAGAAAATAGTTTAATTCTTCTATACAAACATAGCAAATACACTTGGATTTGATGACAGTATGGATGTAATATCACCCAACGATACAGTGCATGGAATTAAATTACCAGATTTAGTTCCTTATAAAGAGTTGTGCATCCATCTTGATCAAATCAGTACAACGGATAATATTCAACTAGAAAGTCCTTCAACCCTTCTGAGAGCTATTCCAGTCAAAGAAGAAAAATACAATAGCGGTAGAATGGAATCTTTCTCATCATTACAATATAAAAAATTAAAGCGTGGTATTATGTCAGATCTCGAAATTTCTGGATTAGATGTAAAACATCAACCTGTGCATATAGGATACTTGAGTGTAACACTCCATATTATAAATAATGGTTGATTCATCAGGCCCTGGAACGCTCAGACAATGTAATACAATTGCGCTTTCCGATCTCGGAGACACAGAAGGATTCGGTAAACCCGGTACCGATGGTAAGTTATACGCTTTACACTTACAAGATAATGTATACAAGCGGAAAGAAGTTACATTCACAGGTAATCTAGGAGATTTAAGTGATGTCGACGTTAGTAGACTCAATAAAAACACTTCATATAATCTTACTCGCAACGATGATAATAAATGGAATATGATCGAAGCAAAAATCGATTGGCTACTGAATATCGTCATTACCCCACCATATGTGATGACAGGTAAGGCACATAATTTAACTAAGATAATAAATAGTGGGATCGTACTCGGGGCTTATATCCCATCAAAACGAAAAAGTGTGTTAGTCCCTCCCCTGGCAGGAAACCAAGGGCATATGTTATTGAGTCGTCCAGCAGTAAAAAATGTTAGTTTAAATTTGGTTACTGAACTCAATGATATAAAAGATAACTTGAAGGATATACCTAATCTTTCTACGCTTATTATTGAAGACTTGTTTGGGGATGCGCCGGCGAAGCCTTCGAAATATATATATTACCAGGTATATCAATGAAATGGCTCAAGAAACACGAGCATCAACGTTGTAGTATTATTTATTGGAGCATCACCCGTTGCAACCCTTGAGGGGGTCCAAATTATTAAAAGTGACAGCATATCTCTTACTAAGATATTCATGCCGTATAATATACATTTAATAAGGTTGATGTATACTCTCAAAACATTGAAGCAAGACCAATTAAAGACTATTATATGATATAATAATATACACTATGGGTTTATATCCAGTGCTCGATGAAAAGATGGATACTGTTGATGGATTTCGATTACATCAAATAAGCGACATAAAACATCAAATAGAGAAGGAGAGGGAGTTGAGACTTGGATTGTATAAAAAGTATCGCAGAGCCGTGAATGCTCTGGACGGAGTTGACACCGCGCTTGTAACAGCTGGCATGGGACTTGGTGTAGCCGGTGTTGGTTTATTATCAACTATAATCGCCGCGCCTATCGTGCTCGGCATGGAAATAGCCGCTGGAGTCTCAGGACTGGCAGGAATAACGATAAAATTTATTTCTCGTAAGTTGCAAAAGAAAGCATTAAAACATGATAATATTCGGATACTTGCCGAAGCAAAGTTGAACAGCATTGAGGATCATATTTCAACAGCAATGGCTATTTGTAAGATATCCGAGGATGAGTTTCGTTTAGTGTTGTCAGAACTCACCAAATTCAACGTAATGAAGCAGGAGATTCGATCAAATTCTCGTAAGACCAGTGGTATTAACAAAGATGAGAAAAAAAAGTTCATAGAACAGGGGAGGAGACAAGTGCGTCAATTATTCTGTGCCAAAACCAAAGAACTGGTTGGAGATTAAAAATAGATTGCTTACTATCATTAGATCACACCGCATAAAAAATCATACATCCATTTAAACGAATGCTTACATAAGTATATAATAATGGAGAATTACAAACCAACAAAGGAAGAACTCAAAAAGCTATCGAAGCATCTATGCTCAAGGACAACATTATCAAATGGAGAGAATTACCACAAGGTATATATTATATCAATGATGTCAAACCAACCAAATACGGTCATCAATTGTTTCTTTCCATTTACCAAGAAGAGTATAAGTCTGGTCTCCTAGTAAAATGAACGAAGAACTTAGTAAAAATGTTGAATATTACTTCGTTAAAAATAATGGTATACGTACATGTATTAGTAAAAATAATAAAGAATATTTTCATTACAATTTAGTTTAGTCTCATCATCGTTTTTATACTAATGGTATCATTGATTGGCTCCAGGTAGTGGTGAGATAGAGCCAATTTAACTTGATCATCGCAAAATCGTTGAATCGCATCAGCGTTTACACATAAAAAATTCCATCTATAGTAGCAGTATAGGTATATAAATCTGGCTCCAGTGGGGTTGCGGCAGAACCATCATTACCTATACTACTACACTTCCTGTCACCCAGGTCACATTAAAGTCAATGGAACATACAGCCAATTCCTATGACTCAAAAATCACAATATGAGTTCCACAGTAACAATCTAGTCCAGTATTATCTTGGGAGAGGATACCCTAAGAAAATCCTCATGGATCATAAACAGAGAGCAAATGCTGAAGAGAGAACAGACCTCTTAACACAAAAACAGACACCCTCAAAAGACACTAAACCAGAGATCTTTATCACAGATTACCAGTACTGAACCCCACTGCACTCAAGGTCAGCTCCATGATCAAAAACTCTAGGCGCCTACTTAAAGGGTCAGACACCTGCACAGACACGTTCTGAGTGCCACACATCACAGCATAAACAAAGAACCACTAACTTAGAGACATCCTCATGAAAGCGGCAATCACATGCCCACCACTGAAACCACAAATCAGTGGCCGAACTGTCACCAACCTGGATGACAACTGTCACAAACAATCATGTAAAATCTGCTAAATATAAAGTCAGTTAACACCTTCAGTAGAGATATAACAGGCAAAATATATAAATGCCAAACACACTTTACCTGTAAAAGTAGAAACATAATCTAATTACTAAACTGCTCCCAAATGTGGGAAACTATACAAAGGTGAAACAAAACGACACTTCTGCATTAGACTCGAAGAACACGTTGCTGATATCAACCACCAAAGGGACAAACCTGTTGCCAAACACTTTCATTCTGCAGGACACTCAACCAGAGACCTACACTATCAAATCATACAACAGCTAAAGAAATACCAAGTCAGACCAGAACATGGCTAAACGCTGATCCATTGAACTTAAATGGATTGTCTCATGATTGAGAGAGCCGAGATGTAAGGAGCGTGTTCATTGGTCGTGTCCATTTTCCTGGTCACATGGTCTGTGTGTCGGCTATATAAGCCTACCCTGGGTAGGGAATCATCAGTCGTCCTTTCATCAGCATCTGCAGTAAAACATCAGACCTTTTGTCATCAATTTATATAGTTTTGCTGTCAGTGGGTGCCTTTTACTGTTGGTAATATATGTATTTTTATCAAGTAATAGGACTGTTCATAAAAAATGTATGATATACATAGGTCTGTTAATAATTTTTAAGAATGACTTTTTGGTTCTGCACATGTTGTAAGGCAGGGGATTGAATGGTAGCTGTAGAAGGCATAGTGACAGCCGTTGTCGACGAGAGTTACATGCATCACTAAGTTATTTGAACAGTACTGGCCTTGTAGAAATTGTTAGAATACTTTGAGGACTTCTGTGGCCAGTGACAGACATATTTCAAAATCTTCGACACTGTTTATTCACGCTTGGTGTGGAAGAATTTGAACATTATGATAACCATGAGCATGGATTATGGATTCCCCTGAAAATTAGGTCAACTCTGTAATTAGACACATGCTCTGAGGCAAGGACAGTGCATGTATTTTCAAGATTAAAATGACCTAATAAGAAGCCTCATATCCACATAAATAATAGGGCAGGGGATATTGATGACTTTGTCTTAGTAAGTTTATAATCAGAATGAAAGAAATTGAAATAAGTGTGTTCTTGATTTCATTGCAGGCACCATGATGACAATCACGCCAATATTTTGAACTCCATGTGGATGATTGCAATCACTTTCCTTTCCATTGGTTATGGAGACATTGTTCCCAATACCTACTGTGGACGGGGTATTGCTATAGCAACTGGTGTCATGGTAAGTTCACTTTATTTATCACTCCTTGGGTTACTTTAGGGACATGTGTCTTTTGCTATCTAGTTATTAAGTTGCCCCTGTAAAAGGGTGTGCTTAATGTGTTATGTGAAGTTTAACCTCCACCGCAATTGATGTTCACATGTCTCTTATAAACAATGCCAAGTGGAACAAATAAAAGAGAACATTTGTTCATCCGTTGTTCAACAACAAATTCATACCAAGGTTAAGGTCAATCAACACATCTTTCATAGGGAATCAATTATTCAACACAGTTTGACAACTGTTCAGCTGTAAACATGTCCTTGCCAAGGTCCAGGTAATGCAGTTTAATGCAATGCAGTGGGGCTGCAAGGTCACAATACAGGAAGGTCACGATGCGATATGTATCTTGATATTCTGGTCACAATGCAAAAAAAACCCCAGATAACACTACTCCAGGACTCCAGCATTTATGAAGTTTCAAGACTTCAAGCATGTCAAGATTGGCCCTTTCATAATTTTGGAACAATCAAAATCATTTTTATAACAACAAGACTACCGAAGTTGTTAGGCATCAAAGTGAAACTTTCCTTCAAAACACTTAAAATTTCAAAACACCAGAAAATAATCAATCGTCCAATAGTGTTATGCGCTTTAAAAAAACACATCCTATCTCTTCAGCAAATTCAGGTGAACGAGCCGGTATAACAAACTTGGTCAATAAAAATATTAAATTTGATATAAAACACCAGTAGACACGATGATTTACCATTCAAATTATTTCCTACTCTCACAGGCATTGTTTTGTATGCAGATATTAAGATTACCGTGTGTATTTTCTCGTACACTAAGCCTGAAATAGCAATCAGCTGTACACGTGTTGTCTCCCAATCTACCAGTGATTCAGTTTAAAAGTACCCAATGATACAATTTTGATGCAATGGTCAGATGAAATTGTATCTGAAATTATTGTTTTATCAGGAATAAAATATTCAAATATCGTGTTATTTTAGTTGCACCCTTAACTATGTACATTTCAAATTATAAGAACAATAAACATAGCACTTTGGTACAGGTGATTGTTATTGCATGATATTTTTGCGTGTGGAACAATTTGACCAGTCACCGGAAGGACTTCCCTCTCTGCATGTATTTCGATTGCGAAAACATTATGTTGACATATAATGCCACAAATATGACTTTTAACAAGTCAAAGGATGGCATTTATAATAAACTGGGCGGCAAAAGAAAGTAAAGGTCGAGTTCCTTGATTGATAAAAAATTAGCAAGAAGAGGTTTTGTTGTGAATTATAATATAATCTAGGGAGGGGTAACAAACGATTGATCAACCACAGTTTGAATGAAATTGTGCAATCACAGGTAATGCAAGCTCAAGGTAAACAATGGTGGGGTAAGAAATTTCATTTTCAAAAAATTGTCAGACACACTACAAGTTCATTGTTGACACAGTTGCCTTCAATAGCGTGTATGACCTCCAGCTGCCTCAATGCATGCTGTTTTATACTGACACACAACAGAACACAACATACAAATAATAATGATTTATTTCTTTTGGGCTGGGGGATTCCCATTACTTATGTAATACAGCAAACCACTCGACCCCATCCTGAGGGGAAACCCCCTGCAGTGTCAAGCGCTGAGATGACCAGGCCTAGTGGTGAAAATACTAACATTTTGGGGCCATGAAGATCCGCAACTACCGGCAGATACTCTGCCAAATGAACATGAAAGAATTAAGAAATATGCCTATGATTAATTTTTAAATGAGAATCCCCCCAAAATAACTACACAGAAGTAAACTGGTCATAGTCGTACAAGGACGTAACAAATGTATGCCCTATAACCAAGGTGGTAACTATCTTCTAACCTGTATCAAGAGAAACAAACAACAAATCATAAGAATATGTAGTGAACTACCATGTGTATCGGAATCAAGAAATATGCTATATAATCATGATAATACATTACACTTGAAGAAAAGGTTTTACAGATAAATTATAACATGAATATATACACTGGGCGATGTGGAGAAGGGTATTATAGCCAATGTTAACAAAGATAAGCCATATCTTTTTGAGCACGCCACAAAACATCTTGAGGTGTACGTATATATCTGGTGTAACAAGAAGATGACCACCGAGCAAGGACTTGTATGAGGTGATCTGGTACTTTAGCACTGGCTGCTGATGTAGCGGCTCCTATTCGAAAGGAATGACCATTATAGGCATTGTCATCATAACCACACAGTCTTAATAGTTTCTTAAGTTGCACGATGAAATATGAAATAATACCTTGCCATCTACAGTAACAAATAAAGGATCAGCACTATGCACGGTATAGCGATGGCGTTGAACGAGGTAGGCTTGCATACTAGCTACAGGGCATACACAATTGCCCGTGGCTGTATAGGTGATGGTAACTCCTTTCCGAAAATGGATCTGTCTTTGACGCTGCCAACAGCAAGGTGAATTGCACAGCTCTAAGGGTAAGATTGTAAACTGGATTAAAGTTGTCAGTGTCACAAGCAAATTCTCCGCAACGGAGAAAGCCGAAGAAAGCCAGACAACACACTGCTTTCAGTAGTCCACAGGTGTAGGGATCAAAAACACCATGATTTAGAGCCATAACCATCTTAGTTAAGATAGGAGTTGTTATTGGCAAGCGGGGTGATGTGGACAGCCCTTGATGTCTTTTAACCCCCTGCACAATAGTTTGCAACCGAATAAAAGAACCGGATGTCCAAGGGTTAGGTAAACCCATTTGTAAATACCTTAACCGAATGCCACACAGGTATGATTTAATGGTAGAATATCGCAGCAACAATCTACGGTAACAGTGTGCCACAAATCTAATGAGAATGTCTTCCGAGATAGGAGGTAAAGTAGTAGTCCACACGAACCCCTGTATAGTCATGAAAGTGAGAAATGCGTTAACTCCTGATTGGTAGACCTGATATGTTCTGGTAGACCTGATATGTTCTGGTAGACACAGCTGATGACCACAAAAGTTCCATGTCTGCCTCGATAGTTCCTCCATGGGTTACGGGTACATCAGGTCTGTCAGCTGAGGACAAGGGGTTGGGTGACACTCTGCATCTGGTGCTAGGTGACGAAATCTGGCTATCTGCAATCGTGAGAGAGCATCACTTATAGCATTATCCACACCAGGAACATGTTTAGCACAAAACACATAATTCCATTGAATAGCATGTAAAGTTAATTGTCTCATAAAACGCATGATAAGAGGGATAGGTGATCTGCCTTTGTTGATGATAGCAACAGTGGCCTGGTTGTCACAGTGGAAACACACACACTTATTAGACCACATGGGTCCCCATAAATGGGCAGCTGTCACAATGGGAAATAACTCCAAGAGTGCTATTGACAAGTTTTCTCCTGCCAAACTAATCAGTTCTGTGGACCAGGTGGATGAAAACCATCTGCCTTGGAAGAAACCACCATATCCAAGAGATGCTGCCGCGTCTGTGTACAACTGAAAATCAGGTGAGTTGATAGTGTCTGTAATAAACATGGAGACACCATTCCAATTTTGAAGAAAGTAGCGCCACATTTGGAAATCCAGCAGGCAGTCAGCTGAGAGATGCACAATGTCCCGTAGGTTGGAAACCGAGTGAGCTACCCCTAATAGGTATCCAATAAAACTTCTGCCTGGTCTAATGATGCGCATGGCAAAGTTCATGTGTCCCAGAATCACTAAGAGATCCCTCGTAGTCACATGGATTTTCTTGATTAAATGGTCGATCAAGGTGACAATTCTCTGTACTTTCTCCGTAGGCAGGCGGGCCTCCATCCGAGAAGAATCCAGGGCGATGCCAAGATATTCTAGGCATTCCGAAGGACCAGCTTTAGATAAGGGAATGTCCATGTCATGAAACATAGTGAGCAGATTGTTCATAATAGTCTGTCCAAGAGAATGGTCTTTGGCGAAACATATGAAGTCATCCAACAGATGAAGAATGAGTGGTATCTGGTAACAGTTTTGGGCTATCCAGCATATGGCTATGGACAACTGATCAAATATTTTTGGACTGGACCTACATCCAAACACTAGTCTAGTGAAGTAATAAAACTGTTGGCGCCATTTGATACCGTGAAGATGCCACAGGTCAGGGTGGATGGGTATAAGTTTAAAAGCATCTGTGATGTCAGTTTACACATAACAGATCCTGGCCCAAGTTATTTGATGACATTGATGGCATCATCCACTGTCACATATGACAAGGAATACTTGTCCTTGTCGATCAAGGAATTGAGGCTGGGATTCACACAATCGTCGTGAGGAGCCGACATATCCACAATCAGTCTCTGCTTTCTGGAATATTTTCCTTCGACCAGTCCAATGGGGTTGATGCGGTGAATTGGGAAGGGTGATATATCAAACGGACCAATGAGATAGCCCCTGTCTCGTTCCTGTTGCAGAAGAGTGTCGACAGCTGCCGACTTCTTGCGTCCTCTGGTGGATAACAAATTCTTGCACTCATATGTCCTAGTAGGGGGGTGATCTATGCCTTAAAATACCCATCTGATATCCCCGAAACCAGTTCTTGCACAAAATTTTTATCAGGATGTTTTCCCAGTTGTTGCTGTAAAATGTCTACCTTAATTGGAGATATGACTGCATTAAGGGGTAGTCACTTGGAACGTGTTGATTTGTCTGATGTCTTGGAACACTTCTTGATTGACATGATTCTTCTGACATCCAGCACAGACACGAGCAAATCTACAGTTAGGACGTACACAAGACTCATAGTTGAAATTATTGCACACTGGACGTCCTTCATGAAACACAATTTGACGACCTTGAGCATCTTGGTTTCGAGGTCGGGCTTGGCTACGATTGGACATATGTGGGAGATTCTTATCTCGTCTGTTGGCACTAGCCTGGTGGATGGCTTTGGCTTTGGCTGAAAACATCTTATGGTAGGTGTAGAAATCACTTTCGTCACCTTCGTTGCTAAGGCTCAAAATAAGATCAAGATA